TTGGGGAATAATAGGAGGAAGATAGGTAGGGTGAACTTGAGGAGGAGGAGGATGGATATCGGCAAATACTTTGAATGCAGGGGGAATAGAGAGACTGACGGGTGGATGAGGGTGCGGAGCGTTTTCTTGGATTATGTTTTGGAAGTTTTGGAGGTCTTCAAGAATTTCTGGAGAGGAAAGTTGGGTGGGAGGTCTGAGAAACAAAGGTTTTCTTGTGAGGAGGAGAAGAGGGGAAAGTTGGGTGGGAGGTCTGAGAAACAAAGGTTTTCTTGTGAGGAGGAAAAGAGGGGAAAGTTGGGTGGGAGGTCTGAGAAACAAAGGTTTTCTTGTGAGGAGGAGAAGAGGGGATAAATGTCTGAGGAGCAGAGGAAGAGGTGGGTGTAGGAGAGGATATAGTAGATGGGTTAATGGTTAATGGTTAAAAGCAAAATATATGTGCAAGACATCTAAGGTCATGTAGCGCTATAGGAAGGTATAGTAAAGGGTAGTGAAGGGCGGTTGAGTTTGTGGTTAGTTGCTATACATCAGCTACTTAGATTAACATTGAAAAGGTTAAAGATGGGCAAAGGAGTTGATGAGTGAATGGGTTAAGGTCGGGTTAGGTAAAGTGATGTATGCATTTGAAGAAGAACAGGTTGTCAAAGCAGAAACTAAGAGGAGACTGGTGTCTGAGGAGTAGAGGAAGGTGGAGGTGAGTGTGTGGTAGAAGAAGGGATGGAACGTTTAGTCTGCTGCGGGTAGTGCGGGGAGGGAGAGGAGAAGGTGTTGGGGTTGCAGTAGAGATTGGAGTGTCTGGATTTAGAATGGCAAATTTGATTGGGGAAGGTAGGAGGTAGCAGTGGGAAAGTAAGATGTAAGAGGGATAGGTATAAGGGAGGGTGTAGGAACGTCTTGGGAGGGTGGGGGAGGGGCGGAGCGAGCGAATCTGGCTGTGGAACAGCAATGTTTAGCAGGATGTCCTAACCGCCAACAATTTTGGCACTGACGGGGAGGTTCATATGGTCGGACAGGGAGGGATTCTTCACCAATGTAAACATTAAAATGAAGGTCATGACTACGGAAAGTAATTCTGGCAATGTTAGTAGGGTTCTTACGATGACCTCTGAGAGGAATGGAGTAGCACTGTACTGATATCGCATCATAGTCCGTGAGACAGGCAAGTAAGTCTTCTCCACAGTCTGATCAATTTTTGTTATACAAAGGGCAGTTTGCTGGGGAGATAGAGACAGTTCTGGTATTAAGTATCGAGGGTTGGATGAAGTTCTGCAGGAATGGGTTGATAATGCTATAGCTTGGTTTTCAGATGTTACTGTGACGGAAGAGAAGTGTGTTGTTTGAGTAGGGAGATGTGGGAGGGATCACGAAAAATTGGTCCCATTTTGGCTGGGCAAAATAGAGTATTTAAGATATTTGTAGAGATGGGGGTATTAGGACGGGGGTGTGTTTTGAGGGAGGTAGTATTATGGAGAGGTGGACAATAAGGCTGTAAAGCAGTAATAAGAAGGTTGTGGGAGTAGAGGTGACGAAGTTGAACATGTTGGGAGAGTAGTGATGTCTCCTGGGGATTGGGTGTTGACTTAGGTGGAGAATGTACTAGTAGGCATTGAGTGGGTAGTAGCTGCAGTGTTCGGAATCCTGAGATGTAACATCATTATTGGCCAGAGTATGGAGTATGTTGGGAGAGAAACAGTCCACCCCTCAGGGTCCCCTTGAGGGGTAAGGGCTAAACAACTAAAACAAGGGAATACCACGCCCATGGCTCCCTCAAGCCGTTCAGGAATGGCACAAAGTCAGCTTTTCATCCTTTCAGCACGGCTTTAACACCTTAGGAAGTGGATCGTAGACGGGGTTTGGGGAAGGGACGGAAACGAAAAAAATGGGGGGGGAAAAACACCATGCAAAATTAGTGTAGTCGAGAGCTGAGTCCCAAGGCAGGGGAGTTCCCCAGCATTGGGTCCCAGTCTTTGCCTACTACCCCCCCCCCCCCACGACAAAAACGGGCAAGAGATTGGGGGGGAATAATATTGAAAAGGTTAAAAAAGATGGGCAAAGGAGTTGATGAGTGAATGGGTTAAGATTGGGTTACGTAAGGGGATTAGATCAAGTGAAAGATATGTATGCGTCTGAGGAAGGAGAACAGGTTGTTAAAGCAGAAAGTGTGAGATTCTGTAAGGAAGTCTGATAGGTTGGGAAGTCGGTGAAGGGAGGAGAAGTGGGTGAAAGCAGAGGTACGGTCTGCAGCAAAGTGTGGACATGACAACAGAATGTGAGGAACTGAAGGAGGAACATTACATAGGGAACACAGGAGTGGATCAAAAAGTGACATCAGGAGTGTGTGGCCAATACGGAATTGGCAGAGATTTGTTATGTATGTGCCAGAGGCGAAGATGGTTAAATCAACAACACAGTGATGATAGGGCTCCCAGTGGTAAAACTGAGACAATATCATTAAAAACAAGAAGAAATAAAGTGGTGCTGAGTACACTGCCTTGTAGGATGCCTTCGAATTGAGGAAATTATGTTTAAGAGGCAATTTTGACCCGGAAAGTGCATTTGGAGGAAAGACTTCACAAAGACACATGTAGAAGATGAGGTAGAACATTAGATTGCTTGGTGTGATGGATAAAGTGAGGAGGAAGGTACAGGGAAGTGGTAGAGATTGGAGTATCTAGCTTCAGATTGGAAAAGGAATTTAACTGGGTAGAAGGAAGAGATACTGGGGGAAATGCTGAGACATCGAGAAGATGGGAGGGGAGCAAAATAACAGTTTTAGAATAGGTAGAGAGGAAAACTTCATCGGCATGGTTCCTGTCTGAACTTGCATTGAGAGAGGCCTAGGTTGAGAACTGCCACCTCATATTCGAGCTTGTAGGCAGGGCAGCTCCTGTAAAACAGATTATGGGAGCCAATACAATTGGCACACATGCATGAATGAGCAGAGCTATTTGAGCGGTCATGACCAGGTTGGCCTCATAGAGAGCCATGGGCTATGGAGTGAGTGTTTGGCAACATTTCTGACACTGATGAGGAAGGGGTTGATATGGTTGGAAAGGGCAAAACACTCCACCAATATAAACTTCATGGTGGAGGTCATGTCTACAGAAGCCAAGCTTAGTAATATTAGTGAAGACATGCTGGCCTCTGGGAGGAATAGTGTAGCACTGTACTGCCACTACATCATAGTCAATGAGGCAGAAGATATCATTTTTACAGTCTGCCCAGCCCTTGTCACAGACAAGACAGGACAGGAAATGGAAACTTCTGATACAAGTATGATGGGAGGAGTAAGGTTGGGCAGGAATAAGTTGGCCAGGAAGGTCAGTCTGGGTAGAGCGTGCACGAGCTTGGGGCTTAGATGTAACTGGCAATGTGTGAATAATTGGAATTTTTACTGAAAGGTTTGCAGAGGTGGAAGCAGAAAGACAAGGGCAGAAGGAAGATGGGGTGGAGTGAGATAGTGATAGTGAGATAGTATTGTGGATAGTATTGGGCCTTAGTCCCCTCTCCTTGGCCATTCCACAATAAGGTGCACGGGATTAGGGGGTAAATCGAGTGTAAAATGTTTCATCCTCAGGTAAGAGGTAAATACAAACAAAGTCAGTTTTACCATCAAGTTTAATCATACAAAATACAGACTAACTCTAGCAGCAATAGCACCAGTTTTCAGATTGTACAATATAACCACTTTGGTGTTGGTGCAAATATACAGAATGGATGGATTACAATCTTTGTGAATATTGAAACTCATAGATGCTCAATTATACATTTTAGTAGAAAATATTTTGTTTTTCCTCAATTCTTATCTTGTAGGACCCTAAAACAAGGGGATGATTAAGTCCTGGCACCCAGGCCTAAGGATTATCACAGGTTATCAGTAGTGTGATTTGAACACATAAAGTGATTGTATAATATAAGCAAGTGTTTAACTATGAACAAGAGGAGTTTTAACTCTTTTTTATGGAAGTGTGCTTTGTTAATGCTTGTGCATGTGTGAGTGCATTTGTGTGAGTCAGTGAATGAAAAAGTGTGAATGCGAATATGAATGCAAGTACATATGAATGTAAGTGCAAGTTTGTGTGTGTGTGTGTGTGTGTGTGTGTGTGTGTGTGTGTGTGTGAGTGTGAGTGTGAGTGTGAGTGTGAGTGTGAGTGTGAGTGAGTGAGTGAGTGAGTGAGTGAGTGTGTGTGTGTGTGTGTGTGAGAGAGAGAGAGAGAGAGAGAGAGAGAGAGAGAGAGAGAGAGAGAGAGAGAGAGAGAGAGAGAGAGTGTGCATGTGCGCGTGTGTGTATGCAAGAGTGAGTGAATGTCTGCTGAGTAAATATATGAGCAGTTGACCACGTGAATGTGTGAGTGAGTGAATGTGTGAGTGAGTGAATGTGTGAGAGTGAGTGAATGTATCTGAGTGAGTTAGTGAGAATGTATGTGAGTGAATATGCAAGTGAGTGAATATGTGTGAGTGAATGTATGTGAGTGAGTGAGTGAATTTGTGTGTGAATGAGAGAGTGTGAGTGAGTGAATGTGTACGCGAATGAGTGTGTGAGTGAGTGAATGTGTACGCAAATGAGTGTGTGAGTGAGTGAGTGTGTACGCAAATGAGAGTGTGAGTGAGTGAATGCGTGCGCGAATGAGAGAGTGAGTGAATGTGTACGGAAATGAAAGTGTGAGTGAGTGAATGTGTACGCGAATGAGTGTGTGAGTGAGTGAATGTGTACGCGAATGAGTGTGTGAGTGAGTCAATGTGTACGCGAATGAGAGTGTGAGTGAGTGAATGTGTACACAAATGAAAGTGTGAGTGAGTGAATGTGTACGCAAATGAAAGTGTGAGTGAGTGAATGTGTACGTGAATGAGTGTGGGAGTGAGTGAATGTGTACACGAATGAGAGTGAGTGAGTGAATGTGTACGCGAATGAGAGTGAATGAGTGAAAATGTGTGTGCACGTGAGTGAATGTGTGTGCAAGTGAGTGAATGTGTGTGCAAGCAAGTGAATGTGTGTGCAAGCAAGTGAATGTGTGTGCGAGTGAATGTGTGTGAGTGAGAGTGTGAGTGCAAATGTGTGCACAAATATATAATGTATAATTAGGCATTTATATATACAGTATATGTATATACTATAAATGTGAATTTATATAACATAATTAAATTATATATAAATACAAACACATACATATATAAATATGCACACATGCATGCAAAAACAAACACCCGCACACACACCACACACTCACCCATACCCACTCTGCAACTGCACCCTCCTCTATACACACATACACACACACACACACACACACAACATATATATATTCATAATGTATAATAATATAATGTATAAATTACAAATGCCTTGAGCAAGACATGCCACCAACATAAGCTGATCAGTCACTTTCTGATAATTCAAAAATGGTCCTCATATTTTGTTTCCTTTTTTGATTTAAAATGAACAATATATTCAAAATAAAACATTACAACAAACATTACACTTATATATATATATATCAGAGAACCAAGCCTTATATCCTGTCAATTCAAAGGTTCAGCCATCACAGACAGTGGATGGCATCAGCACAAATTGTGGATGAATCTATTTGTATCTGAAAAGCAGGTCTTTGATTTCAATGTAGTATGATCTTGGGTACTTGGAATTTAGTGTTACACCTATTGCTTTTGCTTCTAAACTTTTTGCTTTTTATAGAGTAAAATTAAAATATCAAGGACCTTCAGCAAATGCTTCTAACACAAGTCTTTTGAACACTAATGCTTAATCTTAAAACTCCTCATATTAGGAATACCTTACAGCAGAATATTAATGTAAAATGTGTTTTTTTATGTGTAATATTATAATGAATGCTTTTAACATCACATTCCTGAAAGTGTTTGCAAATGAGTACACTAATATTATTGTTTTTGCCTTCCTCGAGAAAACAGCAGGCTTTCATGAAGCCCATTTCTTCCATACACTTCAAACAGCCACACTATGAACAAAATGTTCTTTATACACTGTTTCTTCCAGGAAAATGAGCAAGAAAAATACTCAAACCCATTGTTTAAGGGTCCTATATATTACAAAGCTGAATTTTAAGTACAATACTGATTTCACATAGTAAAATAGAGCTCACAAAAACTGTATTATGCAAGCTATGTAACGTATTGTAAACCAGCTGCTCGCTACAGAAGTATCACACCATAGGAAGGATCTGTTGTCATATTGTTCACTTCCACCTAATACTTCATGCATAATTACTGCACTATGAAAAGAGAACACAATACTTTCTTGTACATTACAGAAAATGTAAAGAATGGTCCAGTGATGACAAAAACAAAAGGAGTATATTCCATGAAAGTATAAAACCATGTTCCTTCCTGGTTAACTCAAAATGAAATGTAAAGGCCCTTTCATGACATGTACAGCAAATGTATACAAGCTAAATTTTAATTTAGGAACAGTAAACAGTCCATTCATTCAAACAATTATACAAAGTTAATGAAGTAAAGACTCAAATTTTACCTGCAGGGATGTATTCCTTCTTAACCATTTAACGTGCAATGGAGGGAAAAAATATATACGTATGAAACAAGTTAACTGTGTATTTTACATGCCATAATGTACCATTTTTTAAATCATAATATATATTATCTTTTAATTATTATTATTACTATTACCCATACATCCTGGCCTCTTCCATAAATAGCAAGTGTATAAATAATAAATTTGTCTTACTAACCCCTCTAAGATACAGAAAAAGGATTTTTTTTTTTTTTTTTTTGTCTGAATGTGCAATCCACACCATTGAAGAATACCCATGCCGCCAGGTGGCATGTACGTACATGTCATGGCATGCCTGGACTATATTCCGGGTGGCATGTGCATAAATGCCAGAGTGCGTCAATCCCGTTTTCCGGGGGCATGTATGGTCACGTGCCACGCATGTTAGAGAGAGGACGTGAGCCTCCCAGCAGCAGGGCCCGGGTCACAACTCAGGAAAGAGGGCTTGTGTATTGAGAAATTACCCATCGCCATTGGGTTAAGACCAGCTGGGTCATACCTAAGAATCTGTATTAATTCAAAACACTAAAAAGAGCTGAGAGGGAAAACAATATCAATTATCTTTGAAAATTATTCATTGGAAAGAAAGGGAGAAAGAAACAAAGAAAAAAAAAAATAATAATAATTTTATGATACCATTCCAGAATTCAATTAGAATTCAAAACAAGCATGCAAAGCTTTAGGAGAATTCGGTACTGCATATTCAGATACTACCATATTATAACATAAATGCAGTACAAAAATATATATGCACTCACATGAACTCATTCACATACGCATGGAATCTCTGACTTGTTTAAACACATTCCATTAACACACTTGAATATAGGCATATGCACTTGCACTTATGCAAATACATACCTACATACTTCACTCTTTCATGCACTCATATTGCCTGTTACACACATACATGTACACTCCTAAACACACAAACTCCAATACAAAACACATGCACACAAACTTGAAACTTGCACAGGGACATATAAAAAAAAATAATAATAAATAAATAAAGCAAACACACTCAGACACTTGCTAACTCCCTCGCTCACTCCTACACTCGCTCCCTCATTCGGTCACTCACTCACTCACTCACTCACTCACTCACTCACTCACTCACTCACTCACTCACTCACTCACTCACTCTTTCCTATGACTGATTACCTTCATTCCTAATATCACAAACCCTCTGCAGCCCTTTGCCAAGTAATTTTCCCCTTAACAGCAAGAAACTATCACATCTTCCATCCCCAACTGCTGCAGGTTAATCAGTACATATTTAAGTATACCCCTCATTACCTCTACTTTATCATCCTTGCCAGATTTATTCATTTGATTTCATATGACCATAGTTTTCACATAAAAAGTAAATCTTTCTGGGGGAAAAAAAAATAATAATAATAAAAATAATAAAATGGTGAAAACAGCAATATTCTTAAAAAAAAAAAGAAAAAAAATTATATATATATATATATAAAATTGAAATATAGAAGACATTTAAATAATAGAAGTCACATGCAAAACTCGCCTATAACCAATGCTAAACAGACATGATCATCAAATATATGGAAAGCACATTCATCCCAACAGTAATATGCCAAGATAACAAAAAGCATAAGCAATTTTTTTTTTTTTCATCATCAAAGCAGCACCTCAAATATTACTAAAGACACCAATCCCAAAGAAACAAAAAGGGGAAAAAAAGGAGAAAAGTTTTAAACAGCAATTAACTTAATGACAAAATTTCTGAACTCTCCCCTATTGGAACAACCAATGCCTCCAGTATCCTTCCCTTAGACTAGAGTAAATCAAACATTATTCTTGGGTTTATTCCGTAGCGGCATGGGAAAAGTAAAAAATAAATAAAAAAATAAAAAGAAAGTAGAAAAAAAATAACAAAAATAAAATGTGTATCCACATCCAACACTGAACACTAAATATGAAGGCCTTCATGAATGAATCTCCTGAAGCTGTGAAACCAAAGTATTTTCCCTGTGACTGTCTTTGACCTTTAGGAACATACTCACAGATGCATGTTTGTATATCAGAACATTAGACTCTTGCTTATACTATGGAGCTACTGACCAAATAAGCTATGCAGGTCAGCTAATTATTGGCATCAGGTCCTAATTAGAAGTCTAGGGTTCTGATGAACAAACAGGATTTAAGATCTTGATAATGAATTGCTATTCAAACCGAAGTACAAAGTCATAACAAAAATATTCTAACACACAGCAAGTAACCATTAAGAGAAATAAGAGGAGTAGTTAGGCACTGTCCCTTGCTAGTGGAAGATGAAAGGAAAAACCATCTTAATAAACACTAACAACCTGGTTCTAACAGAGCTGTTCTTCACACCTGGTTTACAAAGTGGCAACAACAAAAATAACAAAGATAAAAATAATTACCAACAGAAACTATAAGATGTTTGTAACATCTTTCAAAGTGATGCTAGGCTACTTTTATCAACAAAAATTATATTACAATAATTTTATTTTTCTTCACAACATTGGTTGATGTAAAATAAATGAAACTTCAAATTCCTTATGTTATAAAAGCTACAATCATCTGTAGACAAAATGGTATTTGCATACCACTGTTACAAGAGTAGATTACTCAGGCACTCTATTGTATCACCTCTAATCAATTAACAACAATGCTTGATATAAAATTTTTACATTTAAGCTAACAAAATCCTTGATACAGTGTGACCACCTAACACGACCAAAGATTATCCAGCCATATTGTTCGTCACTTTCAAAACTATTTAAAAAATTAACTTTCTTTTACCATTCCTTAGAAGTGTCAAGATGCATTAATGACATCAGTTATATAATGGAAAGACCTTGCAAAGAAACACATTTACTGGCTATTTAACTTCAGAAGAGAGCATATGCAACATCGAAATAGATCAAAACCCTGCTCTTACATATTCATTCTTAAGTGCTTCCAATCAAATCACCGAATACATGAAACTGGTGCAACCTCGAACCATAAAATGCACAAACATGACTAGTTCTGACAAATTCCTTAAAGGAATTGATTCATATCTTATGTGTGAAATACATGAACTGCAATCTTTCCATTTCTAACACTGATCAAGTTTTTAGTAAATCCACATAATCATAAATCTGCATCTCTTATCTGGATAATTTCATTGCCCTTAAAGTTATGACAGGTAACGTATGAGTATATGGTCAGGTGATCACATACAAAAATAAACATCAAATAAGTGATAAATTTCTTCATGACACTTACATCTCCAACCTCTGTTGAAGAAAAGCAACAAAATTTGCTGAAATGTTAAGCTCTGAACTGCCAGTGTTTCCTGATAAGTTACCTGTCTATGAAGATTTACAAAAATCACTAAACTAATTCTTGGCATAGATAATTAGCCTAAAAAATAATAAAAATCATAAATATGTACTACTTTCTATAAATAGAAATCACTTTTATCAAAAAGACAAAATAAAAAACTTTTATTTTCTTTTTATAGTTAAGACTATAGTGACTAAGGATGAGCTACATACCACATGTTACTCTTGCTGACTAATTAATATTTCTCTTACTCACTGGTGTCGTGCCAGCTGATACTCAGCATAGAAGTAAATAAACATAAAACTCCATGATAATGGTCCTTATAGTATGTGATACTATGGCATATATTATTCTTCATGAAATGCAATAGACTATCTAGTCCAAGATGTAGAAAAGCATTAATTAGGAAAGAGAGAAAAAAAATCCAAATCAAAAGAGAACAGGATATTTCAAAACAAATAAGCAAGAGAAAAATAAGAACATTAATGCCCTACCCCATTCTTTAAGAAATACTGGGGCTTCACCTAGCCTCCCCCTCTACGACTGGTACCTCCTGCTTTTGCTCCAGCTCCTGCTGCTGCTGCTGAGGCTCAGACAGGTGCTGCTCATCACCCTTGTCTTTTGCCTTCTCCACCAGAACAGGCTGCTCTTGGAGAGTGAGGCCCTCCAGTTTTGTGAGGATGTCATCACACTCTTCAACAGGGCCAGTGAAACGCAGGAAGGCAAATCCACTTCTGCCTCGCCATGTGATGTCCATTGGCTGAACATTTCGGTTCTGGAGAGCATCCTTGAGTTCACGCACTCTGCAAGGAAGCAAATTCAGATTAAAGTTAATGTTGACGTGGGAACACACAAAAGAAAGCTGCCAAGTAAACAGGTGTACATCAACATGTGCCCTTTTCTTTGATTTACGAAATATTTTATGTTACCTTATTTTACTGGTATTAATGTTAAAAAACATTATAATAATTATAATGTTTATAATAAAAATTACACCAATATTCATGGCACTAATGAAAAATACGTTTTTCCCGCCATCTCAAATCAGGCACTAACATAGCCATCTATGGGCAAACATTTCACAAAAAAATATAGAAAATAGGCACAGCATTTTCCCTTTTTTTTTATTCCCTTTCCACAAACAAGCTTTTCAATATTAGGAGTAGTACTTGACAATGCACAATGCATATCACTTTCCACTGCAAGCTGATTCCAAGGCTTTCACTCATGTAGGTTGATTGACATCCTGTGGGCCACAAAAAAAATCACCGTAGACCACCAGTTGAGAACCACTGGTCTATACCACTGCAATAGATAGGATGAAGGTAGGCATGGTAGCCAATCATGCCAGTAATGGTGATCAGTTGGCATTATACTACTGATGTGCATAGATCCAAGATGTGGTACAGGCAGATTTTCTTCTTCCTCTTTGACCTTGCAATCCTCAATATACATCCCCATCTTAACCTAATGTGCAGTCTTTTTTGGCAGAGACGTGGTCTGCGAAACGGCACATATCTGTACGGGCTGGGCACACACACTCTTGGGGTAATTCCTTCATGCTCACCTAATTGACACTCTTCCCAGTCACTTGCCAATATTTGGTGAGCATAACTGCTTTGACATCAACTTTTATATGTCCTCAAATTTACATGTTTCTAGATTTTTAAATGATCACTGTTGCCAACTTCTTGACTTTACCAATGTACTACTCCATATGAACTGATCACAGTGGTTTTGACCATGAGTTTAAGAATCAATAGTGTAGGAGACCATTAAAAACAGGATTCCATCATATTCTTTATTTCTTTAAATGAAAATTCAAAGGTGAATTACATATAGTTTCATATGTAGGAAATGGTTATATAAATAGAGATATATGTGCAAAACAACATAGTTACATATTGCTATGCAATAACTGTGTACACAGAAGTACCTCGGTACATCTTTGTATGGTAGTCCTCAAATTAACCATAGATGCATAGTGCAACATCAACATTGTTTGCAGGAGTTTTTCACCATTTTCCTTATCTCACTCCTGTTGCAGACTTGGCAGCAGCAGTATTCTCCAGTCTCTTGGGGAAATGCTGGTGCACTACCAGCTGCAACAAATCTTCATGTACTTGTTGCACTGGGTGGCTGATGTGAAAACCTACACTGAGAAAGTTACTCCCTCAGGAGACCCTTTGCAATACACTAATCATATTGCAATCGAATGGGACCACCAACATTTTTGTTGAAGAAATGCACCGACTTCTGCCATTTTAACCTGGTAAAAAATACCAATTTATACCATTTTAGTGTCTTTCTAGGTATGTCAAATGACAGAGCTGGTCCCCTATATCAACCTCCTTTATTCCAATGTTGTAGTCAAGCACAACCACAGGCTTCTGCTCAATATCTCTACTCTGCCCCACCCTCCACTTGTGGGGATTGTTCAGAGCAAGTGGATGGCACATTTATCCTCCCATCTCAGAAAACAGGGCAGTAGGAGTGTTCCTCCTGTGCATTCCATAGTGCTTGAGTTTTCCTGTTAGCCCTCACTGTCCCTGCAGCATTTGCTTTATGCACCATCAGAAAGAGGAACTGTACAAATTGTCAAGGTACAGTTCTTACCCCTTACAGAAAGACCTCATGATGGCCC